TCAGGAAAGGCAAGCTAGAAACACAGTGACACACCACCTCAAACCTGTTAGAATGGCTTTTATAAAGAAGATAAAAGAGACATGTTCTCTGAGGATGTGGTAGAAAGGAACCTGTGAACACTGTGATGGGAATGTAGATTAGTGGGGCCATTATGGAAAACACTACAGTTTCTTTCAAAATTAAAAAGAGAATCACCAGATGATCCCACAATCTCATTATTTAGTATATATACAGAAAAGAAATTATTATATAGAAAAAACACAGAGTCCTACTTATCCATAAAAAGGATAACATTTCTACATTTACGACAAAATGGATAGATCCAAAGGGTATTATGTTAAGTGAAATAAGCCAGGCAAAAAGAAAAAGACAAATATTGCATGGCCTCATTCATATGTGGAATTTCAGAAAAACAATACCATAGCAGTAGAGTATTGGTTGTTACCAGAGGCCGAGATAGTTTGGTGTGTGTGTGTGTGTGTGTGTGTGTGTGTGTGTGTGTGTGTGTACTGCTAATTCCTATTGGTTCACTGAAAGGAAATGTTAGTGCTTATATTGTTTGATCAATACACTGCTCAAAGAATGGAATAAATGCAAGTGATTTATTGTGTAATGTGGTAACTACAGTTAACTGTATGTTTTATTTTTGAAAAGGTTTGGAGCAGTGTGTGTAGAACGTTTGCACCACAAAAAGTGATAACTGTGATAACTATATGAGATAATACAAATATAAATTAGTTATATTTAGTGGTACTATATATATATATATATATATATATATTTTAAAACGCGTACATGAAAAATGCATACAATGTAATGTGTTGATTTAAGAATTAACATTAAAAAGAGTTCAACCAGAAAGGAAGCATGTGTAAAGCTGGGTATCAGGGGCAGAATGTTATGCTTTAGTTCTAAAATTTTCCACCGAAATCTCACGTGTTCAGATGTAGGCTTTTTTAAGGTGATTGGATCAAGAATGTACTGCACTCACCAGTGCTTTAATCCATTAATGAGTTAATAACTAATTTTACGTTAGGAACTAATGCCTGCTTGAAGGAGTTAGGTCACTGGGAGCATGACCCGGAAAGGTATATTCTTTTCTTCAGATCCTCTTTCTCTGTTTTCTGGCTCCCACTGGAGTGAGCAGGTTTTTCTGTCATTTCCTTCCACCCTCCATTTCTCCTTTGGAGACAGCTAACCATAGACTGAACCCTTTGAAACTGTGAAACAAAATAAACATATTTTCTTAAATTGTGGGTGTCAGATATTTTGTCCCAGTGACAGAAAAGTGACTATTACAGAGGTGATGCAAATATGGTGCTTGAGCCAGCTATAACTGTTATGCTCTGAACTGATAGACAAAATATGAAATACACATATGTATTTTGGACAGCTTTATGGACAAGACATGAATTTAATGTGTACATTGAAATGTAGACAAGTTTTGCAAATAGGTTTTAAATCCAGGGAATCAGCTTAAACAAGATAGTACCTAGAAACAATGTTTTGGACTCAGCATTAAAGATGAGAGAAAAGTTCTAAGTAAGCATGTATCCTCAGGCTTCTCAAACTTTGACCTAGATGAGAATCACTTGGAAAGCTGGAAAATGCTGATCTCAGTTCACTGCATTTAGGAAAGGACCTGATATTGTGCATTTCTCACAAGCTCTCAGACAATATTGATATTGTTGGCTCACGGACCACAAGAACGGTAAACAGAGAAATCCAATGAGCAATAAGCACTGATCCTGGGATGGGAAGCAAGGTTTGAAAGGCAAAATAGGTAGGAAACATTTTTCTATCACAGATTTCATCCAAGTGCTGATAACAGATAAAAAGATGTGGTATTTTTACACAATGGGATATTACTCAGCTATAAAGAGAGATAAACTTGAAGCTTTTATAGGTAAATGGATGCAACTAGAGACAATACTCATAAGTAAAATAAATCAGACCCACATGTGTAAATGTCATATTGTCTCCTAGTGTAAGAAACTGCAACAGTAAATAAGGTTGAAAAGGTACAATAGATATTGTGAAAGGGAAAGAAACTGCTCAGAAGGAAAGAAAAATTGGGATGAGGGAAAAGAGAAAAGAAGGAAGGGGAAAATAGATATGTACATATATACAAGATAGTTAAGATAATTGTACTACTAATTTCTATTAGTTTGTTAGTTCTATTAGTTCATTAGTTCATTGTTAGTGCTTATATTGTTTGATCAATTTTGCATGTCTGTACTGGTAATCTGAGCAACTACTTTGAAGATAACAATATAATAACCATAGTTAATTTCCAAAAACAAAATGGCCAGGAAAGTAAGAAAACGATTCAAATGGTGTGGTGGTACTTTGTAGAACTGGACTGTGTATGTAAGTTCTCTTTGAGTTTGGAAAATGGCTGCCATGGAAGTATATAATCTCAATATTACATAATCCTTCAGTATTTTTTAAAGAAAATACCATCCATAGTTGGTAGAAAATAATGGTTCCTTTTTTTTTTTTTTTTTTTTGGTCTCTTTGAGACAGGGTCTTACTACGCATTTCAGGTTGGCCTTGAACTCAGTTGTATAGCTCAGGCTGGCCTCTAACTCACAACAATCCTCCTGCCTCAGCCTCCCAAGTGCTGAGATTACAGGCATGTGCCAGAAATTTACTTCATGTTAAACATGAAATCTACTTGTTTGTAAATTCTGACTCAAATTAAACACAAACATATACACATACTCACAAATAAGACATTGTGAGTCACAGCAAATTGACTTTTCTTGGTAAAGTTGCAAACTCTCTCAACCAAATAGTCAAATAGGGTCAGTAGGTTCAAAATATGGCCATAAGAAGACAGAAATTAGCACTTATGGGAAGCTTATTGATTTACTCCTGGATAAATGCTATGAATTAGAGTTAAATAAAAGAGTCCACAACAAGGTTGTTTTTAAATTACAACTTATAGTCACTAACTCTAGATTGTTCCAAGCCAGAGCTAGACTTGTTAATAGGAAATTAGTCCAGGCAAGCTAATAATTGAATATTAAATTTTTCTTTTTATTCTGTCACCAAAACTGTGCCATCTGAGCAGATTAGCTAAAGTTAAAGTAACTATCTAGCTAAAGAAGACTCATGCAGATATAAAATCTCAGCCCTTAAAATCATAGGGTTCTATGTAGTGACCAGATTTAGCTAGTACAATACATTTTCTTTCTTTCTCTGATGTTTTAGTAGAGCCTTATGAATTGGTGCTCCATGTAGTTCTCAGGGTGGCTGACCCTTTAATCTGGTTCACCTGAAGGAGTCACAAAGTCAAAATGGATTCTTGGGAAAGGATCTGGTTTTAGAACACCCTTGCCTGCAGTACAGGAGTTGAATGGGCACAGCAATAGATTTAGGGGTAAAATGACAGAAGTAGGACTGGCAGACTGGCTGGTTGTAATTAGGGAACAAGATAGCCAAAAGTTTATTTTTGTCTTTGAAGCCCAGGTTCTTGAAAGTACAACAGAAAACATAACGTTGTAAGAAAGAAATTGTGACTTATCCATGCCAGAAAATACACAGCCTTTCTTCTACACTGGCATTTTAAATTAAACTACTATTCACAAATTCTCTCTAGAGCAGTTTAGGAAGACACAGTCCAGGCTCAGGTTTGTTTTGCTGTCTTATTGTTTGTCAACACTATAGAGGTAGACTCTGCAAAAACTGTCAACATCAAAACACCTTTATTCTTTTTCCTTTAAAAACATAGCACAGTAAATTTATGACACAGTCCTGACTTAGTAAGGATCCTCAGAGAGGTAGGGATATTGAGAGAGTAAACATTAAGCACAAAGAACTCACCCTGAGGTAGGTGAAGCAGACAGTGGAGCTGGAAGTTATATAAGGCTTAAACCAAAAACCTTACTAACTCCAAAAGGCAGCTTTTGTAAATTTTCAAATACAACTCAGAATTTAACGAGAAGGCCCAGGATGTAGCTCAGTGTCATGGCGCTTGCCTGGCAAATGCAAAGTCCTGGGTTCAATTCCTGGCTCCAAAAAAAGAAAAAGAAAGAAAATTTGGACAGAGTAAGTGATATGAGAGTAAAACAAAGTTATATAATAGATACTAACTTTATTTTATTTTATTGGCTTTTTTTTCTGGTACTGGGAATTGAACTCATGACCTTGCATTTGCCAGGTAGGCACTGTGCCACTGAGCTAAATCCCCAGCCCGATACTAACTTTATTGATCACTTAGTACATTCCAGGTGCTATCATGTCAAAATTATGTAAGCCGCATATCATGTCTTAATTACTTCTTATCAGTGACATAAAACACAAGCCTACAGTTTTATACTGTAACAGGTTATAGAGTTACAGGCTAAGAATCACATTCCTGTTGCTTCTCCCTGTGTCTCTCCAGTAACTCAGCAGTCTTTCTCAAAAAGCAAGGCAGAAGGTTCATAACCTTCAAGATCATGTCACTTAGAAGCTGATTCAGGCTCTTCCACAGCACTTAATTTATCATTGCCCTTCCTGTCAGATAAAGTACAGCAAAGCTTTCTGCCAGGCTGATTTCTCCCTTTTAGTTAGAAAGACAGGAAGGCAGGTATGCATGAATCCCACCCAAGCAACCACCAAGAAATTAGATGGTAGGGCCCCTGTCCCAAGATGAAAGGCTACAACCAGGCTTATTCATACACTCCACCACCAGTGAGCTTTAGAAGCCAAGTGAAGTCAAGTACAAACATTCCTGTGCACTAATATGAGCAAAGAAAGTCGACTATGGTAACCTGTTTAGAAAAAAGTGTGAAAGAATTTAATGAATGATTTTTGATTTTCATGTTCATTGACTGTTATCTCCTGGATCCCTAAAAGTGAAGACTTGCTGGCAACTCGAGTGCATGGAACGTCAGAGCTTTTTTCTTTCTCACCATGACATGGCTCTGTTCAACAAATATGGCTGTGATTTGACCAATAATCTTCCCCAGCTTCATTATTTGACCTTGTGTTTTGCCTTTGTTCTTTCTAGGAAGCACAATGTGCCTATGTACTCATTGTTGTTGCCATATTTTGGGTGACAGAGGCTTTGCCTCTGTCAGTAACAGCTTTGCTGCCCGGATTAATGTTCCCCATGTTTGGAATCCTGTCTTCTACGCAGGTAAGTGCTCCTGAAAAAGTCGTCATAGTTAGACTCATTGTTTTATACTGTGATTTCCTTGGAGAAAGCTGCTTTTTAAAGGAGCAGTAATCCTGTTAGTAAGACTTCCCCAGAAGTCTCCCTATTTCCAGTTGTTCCTTCTCTCCCAGTTTCTGCACCTATACTACCTTCTGGGGGAAAAAAAAAACCAAAAACAAAAACACAGGTTGCCACTTTTTGAGTCATGTGTTTCTTTAGGAAAAATGTGTGTGCCATCTCCTTTACTTGGCGTCTATGACTGATGCCTTGCTCCCCACAAAAGGCACATCTCATCCACATCCTCCACATCCTTTCTGTTATTCACCAGACTTCAGTTTCACAGTGGTAGAAAAATAATTTTCGTTTTTAATGAAGAGAAACCTTCCCTCTTTTCTTTTCCAGAAACCTGCCATTTCAAAAGATTAACTTTCATGTGTACTTCTATTTTGTTCTTGCTGAGAGGAATTTATTCACGCTGAGCGCTGTTTCTTACCTTTATACAATCTAAGGGTACCCATCTGAAGAAAATGGATTCAGTTTCCCATTAAGAGCATAAAATGGACTGAAACCAGAATATCTGTCTCCATGTAGTCGCCAGCCACCCAGCGAACAGCAGCTGCCTAAACAAGAGTTGAATCATTCTCAGGAAAGACAACAACTTCACATTGCCAGTCAGTGCAGTTTATCACCTTTGGACTTTTCTGCATAGAGGCAACTGTGCTCTCCTCAGGTTTGCCTGTCTTTAACATGGGTGGAGAACTTTCTTAATTAACCCTTGATTCCAGTTCTTTCTGTGAGGAAGCTGCTCTCTTCTCTATTGTTGTGTCATTCTTCTCAGTTTTGAAACTCAAATCTTTTTTCATTTCTGACGCTCTCGGCTCCTCTCCCTTAACGCATTTCTCCTCCCTTCCTGACCTTGACTCTTTTTCTCTCTAAGTAACATGGATTTGGAAGAAAACATGGCCAAGGTTGCACTTCAGTTTTTGAAATCCCTAGGCTGGCATTCTGTTGACATGGAATCTGTGATAAAGAATCTAAGTTTCTTAAATGTTCCGGAGTACTTCCTCTGTGGTACAGGGGTGATTGACTAGAGGGCACAGATCTGTAGGGGAGAGTAATATTTGTACGATTGTTGCTGGAGATACCTGCCCAGAATCCTCTATCCTTGAGATACCAGCATCTGACTAATTTAATAGACTCTTAAAGAGTCATAGACTCTTGCATTTGGGAGGGAGTTCTTTTAGATCAGTCCTCACCTGAGGTAGAATCCCCTCCACAGTGTCTCTCTGACAGATACTGTCACTCACTGTTTAAGTGTTGTGAACTTCTAACAACCCACAAACAAAATCATAAAATCATATCACTTTGAATAATTTATTCTTTCAAACAATTTTGCTTTCCTGAGCCCAATCTGAAACTCAGTCACTTTGACTCATGAAAATTTTACCTAGCATCTAAGATTCTCCACATGATACTGTTGCTTGGATTTTTTTTTTTAATTAATATGATCTCCTCCTTATGTGTTCCCATGTCTAGTCTTCATGATTTCTAGACCTCAACTTCCCAGTTCCATCACCAGCAATATCTTTTTTCTCTTTCTAGAACTAACTCTAGGTTGCCAGAAATACTTAAGAATTGTAAATGTATGTAAATGCTGGTGTATAGTAAAATGTTGATATATTTTAGCTAATCTTATTATCATTTGTTGATTGACAAAAGTGAGTAGATCACTCCTTAAACATTCAGAGTATTGTGAAGGGTAAAAAAAACTCTATCCTTTCCACTGTGGTACGTTAGCCTAAATTTGTTTTATACTTTATGTGAATTTCTGTACCTCAGGATCTTAAGTGGAATTTACATGAATTCAAAACACTTAGGTTAGGACTTTTAGTAGACAAAACTTTTCTTCAGGCTTTTCATCCTCTTCCCGGAGAGGGCAACTGGCCTTTAAAACTCACAAATAGCTTGCCACAGCTGAACTGTGTTTTGAAAGGGGCTCAATGTTTAGTAAGAAAGCCCAAGCTTAAAATGCAGTGTTTATCCTGTCTATTTATATGATCCTTATGTCACTTAATAACTCTTTCATCACTGACAAGTAGAACTTGAGAGAGCCACAAAATTCAAGGGTTTTTGTAGAAAATTAAATAATATATTGTGAAACTTTGACATGAGCAACGATATAGCGTTCTTACATGTTTTAGTATTCAGTTTCGAGAGTATTAAGTCATCCTTCTAATCCTGTTGCAGCATCTCTGAACATCAAATGTGCCATGGAACACTAAAATGCGTTATACATGTCATCATCTGGATTCAGAGCACTAAGAACCTCTCTTTTTGGCCACAACAGCTCTAATTTTGCTTAGCCTATTTGTTTAGCCAATAAAAATGCTTATATATTGTTAAACACATTGCTGTGCTTGGAGAATATCAACATTTGAAGTTTTCCCACATATGTTGAATTAAACTTGAAATGCTAAGCATTTAGAGTGTGCCTAATTTGATATTTCAAACTAAATATCAATATTATTAATCAACATCAATAACAAACATTAACAACAAATGTTGGTAATGGGTGTTATTAATAAAAATATTATTTGTAAGTCATATGTGTGAAAATATACACATATGCGTATATATATACATATATATATATGTTACAGTACATACTTGTTCAGTCATTTGCTGAATGTGATAGGACTTGCTGGACACTTGGGAAAACATCAAGGAATTAAAATTAAACACAGACAAAGATATATAATCTTCCTAGAGAAACAGACACAGTCAACGATATGTTTGGTAACAGATGAATTGAATAGTGAGTTACAAAGGTGATTGGCACTATGATATGAAAAAGATTAATGGGGACTGAAGAGGGTAACAGTTGGTCAGGTCGGACCTCCTTGAAGTGGTGATACCTGAGCAAGGATTCACCAGAGAAGAGGAAGTTCTTCATCTGCATACCTGGAAAGTGATATCTGCGGAAAGGGAAACACCCAGTGCAAAGGCCCCATGGCAGGTCCAGGTTTGTAGGGTGGCCAGAGTGGAGTAATAATCAACAGCAATAGAAGATGGTGTCATGAAAGCAACGTGAAGACAGATGGGGCCATGCAGGACTAAGTAGGCTGTCATAAGATTTTAACTTTTAATGAAGTGGAACCCTTGGGAGAATTTTGAGCAGAAGAGGGATACCATTGATCTGACTTTTATTTTATTTTATTTTATTTATTTTTCTCCGGTACTGGGAATTGAACTCATGACCTCATTCTTGCCAGGCAAGCGCTGTGCCGCTGAGCTAAATCCCCAGCCCCAGACTTTGATTTTTAAAAGAATAATGTGAGCTACCCTATTGAGAAACTAAGCAAAAAGAAGGAGACAGGTAGCAGGTTATTGCAATCCAACCGCGAGACAGTGAAAATCCAGACAGTATAGTAATATAGATACTAAGTGTGATATTGACACATTTTGAAAGTAAAATCAATGAGCTTTCCTGACTGTGTATGACTGAGAAGATATTTCAGGATGTCTAGCTTTTTGACCTGCCAACTAGAAAAATGGAGTTGCCATTAATTAAAACACATACATACGCAAAATATGGGCAGAGTAGATTCATTGTAAGAGGAGTACTAAGACCTGCAGTTCAGTGCTGGGAAAATTTTAAATACCTATTGAACAAGTGAAGATGTTGAATAAGCAGGTGGATAATCTGATCAAGAGTCCAGAGATCACAAGGGATGGCTCATCTGGAATTATCTGATCTTACAATCATCAGCATATTGATGGAGTTTAAAGCCTTACAACTTGAAAACACTTGAGGAATGAGTGAAGATAGAGTACAAAGAACAGAGCTCTGGATAACTACAACATTAATAAGTTAGCAAGAAGGGAAAGTATCAGCCAAGGAGATTAAGAAGAGAAGGTTAATAAGGCAGGAAGAAAACCAGAAACATTTAGGGCCCTGAAATCCATGTGAAAAAAATGTTTTATGGATGAAGCAAGATTGTGCTTGTCAAATCTGCTGATGAGTCAGTTAATGTAAAAGCTAGAAACTTGATAATTAGATTTTACAAAACAACTTACATAAAAACTTTAAAAGTGCTGTTTTAATCATAGGCACTATAACTTACAGATTAGCTTTTCAGAAACCTTATCTCATTTAATTCACAAACTTGATGTGAGGTATACTCAAGTTTTACAACTGCTTATTGATTTGCGCAAAGGTTACTCAGTTGGTGAATTATATAACTAACCCCAGTGCTCTGATTGCAAAAGTTCATGTATTTTTTCTAAAATCCCATTTGGAGGCAGAAATATAATTACTTTGATCTTGCAGGTAGATTTCAAGTCTCATTACAAATTTCATTTGACCTATCAATTTGTTTCAAAAATAGTTATATTTGTCTGTGTCATTTACAACCAGCAGCACCACCTTCTTCCATTACCCTCCCGGACAACTAGGCTATTCATTAGTCATATTTCCATTGCTGGGACAAAGTATCTCCATACCTAACATACAAAATAAAAGGTTCATTTTGGTATTGTTTTGAAGTTTTGGTCCACAATCAATTGGGCTCCAAGTTAAAAATTGTCATGGCAGAAGGGCTTGGTGAAACAAAGCCAGTCACTTCATGGTAGCCTAGAAGTAGAGACAGGTGAAGAGGCAGAGAGAGGGGGACCTTGAGCCGGATGAAATTTTCAAAGTCCCCATGGCCCACGTGGACATACTCACAGAGGTGCTTTGCTAATCTCTTAGGCTTCTCTCAGAGTTGAGTGTGATAGAGAACATGGGCCCAGAAAGTATAGAATACTTACTCTGGATAGCCTTTGTTCAAGGTCAGATAATTCCTCATAAAACCTAAACAGATCACAGCAGGGACATCTCAGGACCTTGAATTTATTCCTGTGTTTAGATCATTTACTAATAAGTAGACTCCCCTTACCAACAAAAGGCTCCAGTGCATGCCTGAAACTGCAGACAGCACTGAGCCCTACGTTTTTTCCTCTTAGTTGTCCTGTACATTACTATACAGTTCCACATTTAACCTGTCCTTCCATGTTTTATGCCATGGTAACTTCTTTAAGTTAGTATTGTGTCTCACTAGGCAATCCTGCCTTCAAAACTTAATTTAGGACTTTGCCAAATCTGTTACTGCTATTCTGCCACAGACCGTGAAAAAATTACCCTGGTTTTACGCAGGGAAAAATTAAGGCACAGAAGCACTTTCCTGAAGTTACTCAAATGCAGTATCCTGAGTACTCTATTCTTTTTCTGCACTTTTTTTTTTTTATTAACAGTACTGTTTCTGGATGAGAATATAGAACATTTTTTCATTTGTATTGTCACTCAACACAATGGAAAGGTAATGTAGCTGAAGGTCAAAGGACAGCCTGATAATGTCTTTCCCGTGCCTCTCTTCCCCCTACCAACATTAATAATTATGGGTTTCATTGTGAATTCAGGTGGCATCGACTTATTTCAAAGACTTTCACCTTCTGTTAATTGGAGTCATCTGTTTAGCAACATCAATAGAAAAGTGGAACTTGCACAAGAGGATTGCTCTCAGGATGGTGATGATGGTGGGTGTGAACCCAGCATGGTGAGTGCTGTTTGTTTCCCACTTCCAGTTTACATTTGGAACAAACCGTTTAGTGCAGAGCAAATAGTCAAACAAGTAACGCTGTCCAGGGAATCACTTGTACACCAGTGTAATTCATGACTTCTTCTGCTTCTGTAAATGTGAAAGTGACATAAACTATGGTCAAACTGTAGGGAAAAACAATTTTCCTTTCACTGCACATCTAATTACAGGGAGATTAAAATAAGTGCACACAACTCCCTTACCTTTAATGTTCCATTCCAGTCCAAGACGAGAGAATCCTTGAACATCAACAGACAAGACTGATAAGCTTCAGAGTAGATTTCATGTCTGTCTTGCTTATTTGGCTGATTACACATTCAAAACTTGTTTGCAAGCATCGTTTATCAACAGGGAGGACGTTATGAACCAAAGACAAAGACGTTACTGACAAAATACAAATGTGTACAGATAAACTCCAAGGTGAAATTTTTCTCTTTAAATCAGCTGTTGCAAAGTGAGACAATTAAGAACTTTCATCTATAGAGTGCAAAATCATTCATTTGCCTCATTGAAATAAATCCTTTTTTCATTAAGTTAATGGACTATTTTGGTTTTATTCCAGTTCATTTTAAGAATGTGAATGTAAGCTAAAGAAAATTTCCAGTCTCACAATTATTTGCATAATGATATTTTGCTTTAAAGCCTTAGGTGGTTTTTCCCTTCTCGTCTTTCTTCGGAAAATAAGAAAATTTTATTGACTTCTGTTGCATAATTCTAAGCATAGAGACTCATTCTTGACAAATTAAAAAAAAACAGTTACTTAAACATTTTGGTAACACATATATTTAAGACATTTTACTCTTAAGATGAAACAGTGCTCCCTGTCCCTTTTGTGGTATAGAAATGTATGTTTTCTTGGACCATAAGACCAGTGCTCCAGGGGAGAGAAAAGCACTACATAGTAAGGGAGGAGCCTTTTTTATTATGCCAGCAAATGACTTTCTGGCTTAAGGCATTTTCACCAAACAGAGGCTGTGTCTGACACTACTTTTTTGTTTTTTTTTCATTTTATTTTGTGTTGTTTTGTTTCGCAGTATTGGGGGTTAAACCCAAGCCCTTAGCACTGAGCTTCATCTCTAGCCTTTTTTATTTTTATTTATTTTTGATACAAGGTGCTAAATCACTAAAGTGCCCAAACTGGGCTTGAACTTGTGATCTTCCTGCCTCAGCCTCCAAAAGCATGGGATTACAGGCATGTGCCACAATGTTCAGCTGATCTCACCTTTTAAAAATAGGAATATTTCACATTTTACAGATATTGTAATTTAAAAGTATTTCTAGTTTTATTAATATTATTATTGTTATCATTATTACTATTACTAAGTAAATACTGGTTCAAATAGATTTCTGTTTTCTTTTACTTTGTTTTGCACAAAGGAAACATAAACTATACCTGAATTTGAAACATAGGATAGAGTTGTTCTTGTAAATTTATTTTAACAAGAGACTCTGAGAATTTTATAAACAACTCCTGAATGATTTTAGGGGCGTGCTACTCCAAAGAAGTCATGCTTTTTACCAAGTGTGAATTGGAAAGTTTACAGATATTGTTTAAAATCCTAAAGTCTCAGGTAGGCTATTTTAAAAGACAAATTACTCTATTTTTATCAGAAGACAATGTAATAAATACAATTCTCGATAAGAAGGAATGTCAGATTCACAGAAAAATTTGAAGCCTTGTTTTAACAAGTGATTTTCACTGCTGTCTTCGCCGACCATATACTGTACCAGAGGCATAAAGGAGTAAATAGATTTATAAATTTTAATCTATTCTTGTTCTTGTGTCTTCTTGGCACACATCTAATAAACACAGATATGATCAAAAGATAAAATAAAAAGTAAGGGACTAAATTCAAAAGTTGTCTGAACCTTCATCTTACCAGTACCTGAGGTTACATTGTCATTTAAAGAGAATTTGAGTGTTAGTGTAATTTTATAAGCTGTTATACCATATACCAACTTGAAGTTTGAAAACATTAAAATCATTTTTCTGTTTGGGGAGAAACAATTCTCATGGTCCCTAAGAGACAAATCCTTTAGGAACTTCACTTTTACATATGTTACTTTGATTTCTACATGGCTATGTTTGCACTCAGAGTTCACCATCTGGGCTGACCCTTAACCTTCTGTATTTTGAAGAACTTAATTCCTGACTCACAAGCAATATCCTTTACCTTTAGATAAAACAGAGTTACCTAAGATAGAGAGTACAAGTCTGCACTACTCTCTCGTTGCAGGCTAACCTTGGGATTCATGATCAGCACTGCCTTCCTATCTATGTGGCTTAGCAACACCTCTACTGCTGCCATGGTGATGCCCATCGTGGAGGCCGTGTCACAGCAGATCATTAGTGCTGAAGCAGAGGCTGAGGTCAACCAGATGACTTATATCAACGAGGCTGCCAACGTTGGACTGGATATTGATGGTAACATATGTTAATATGACCACAGTGGGGTCCAGTCATTTAGGCAATTAGTCATAAACTGTCCATACATGCATAATAAGAATTTAAAATTTTCTCCTTCTATAGTTCCCAGTACCTATAAAAAGGGATTATACAAATGTCTTACCCTAAATTAACTCCTAAATTTATATTTTCTAGCAAAAAGGGGAAGAATATCTTTTCTATCCCCAAGTTAGTGTAATAGAACACCTTCAGGTCTTCATTGGGAGAACTCCAAGTTACTCTTTCTATCCTAAATTAACTTTCATATGTAACACTGGTGATCTTTAATTCCTACATCCTATTTGGCTACAGCACCAGATTTCTCTATTTAATTCTGGTTCCTTTGATCCAATGAAAATTTTTTTTGGTGGGAGGATGTTAAAGACTATAAAATACTTTGTGAGCTGGGAATGGTGGTGCATGCCTGTAATCCCACACTCTGGAGGCTAAAGTAGGATGATTGCTATGAGTTCAAGGCAAGCCTGGGCTACATAGCAAGACCTTGTCTCAACCCCTCCCCCCAACACTTTGTGAGATGAAAGCTACATCAGTACAAGTTGAATTATTTTTATTTCAAAGAGGCAAAAAGCAATAAAAGTGATACAAAATTTCAAAACAAGATGATAGGAAATTAATAATGGTTATTATATTGCATATTGTTATCTTCATTTATTTTTAATTTCTAGTAATAGTTCCATTTCTCATACATGCTTATACACAAGCCCAGTGATGACCCCTTCTTTAAATTATTTTTATTTTATTATGTTTTGTAGAAACTGCTATGGGACAAGAAACAAAGCCGAAGAACGAGAAAACAAAACCATTGCCAGAGTAAGGAATATTGACATTTTGCTTGGGATTTTCCAAATTACATTTTAATAAAATTATAAACTGGATCAATTTATTTTTAGGTATAGTAATGATACCGGGGAAATTTCAAGCAAGATGGAGACTCGAAAGGTATACTAAATTTGACTCTTCTAAATAGTTATATAGGAAATCATATGCGAGCTGTGGTTGAATGCATCTGCATTTTAAGATAGGTCACTTGGCTTTGTTACTTAAAAATGACTTTGCTGGACTAAGTGAAAGTGTAGTCTAATAATTTGATGAGCCTTCATGGAGCAACTGAAGTCAACATCTAGATGGGAATGATTTTAGGCTCTGAAAATTATTGTCCTTATTTTCTCCTTTTATTAGAATCATGGTGATGGTAGTGAGGCAATGTAGTTTAAGAATATAATTTTAGCCTCTGAATATTTTTTGTTTTATTAAAATCTTGTGGACTTAATAGCTTGATTTTCCTTAGGAGGATTCTCATTTCTTCCAGGTTATAAACTTAGAGCAAGTCCTATTCATATAATTACAAGTGTCCATGTAATTTTATTGTTTCCATTTCTGCTAAAAATTTAGTGCAGCATTCATGAGTTGCCTGTATTCTGTCAAATACAGGCAAAAAGTTGCTGTAGCCATCTAGATATTAAAGGAAGGAAGGAGGCCTATGTAAACTATCCCATATAATTTATTTTTCCACAATAAATCAATACAAAAATACTATACCAGGTTGCACTGGGAGCAATATATCTCAATACCACTGAAAAATTATCCCGCATAGAAATAGTCCTGCAGTAACCATGGCATGAAGAATATGAGAATGGTGCACATATTTCTTCCTCAGGTGATAATGCATTAGCATACAACTCAATAGGAAAAAGAATACTTTGTTGTTCTTAGAAATCTTCATAGAAAGAGCAATTTCTATGCAAAAGAAAATAAACAATAAGGTAAATATTGAAATAGTTTAAGCCGTTAACTCCATGTACATAAGGGTTTTTAAAGAAATGAATTTTATTTATAGTTGTATATTTGCACACATATATTTCTTTCCATTATTATCTTTAGGGGTAGAAATAATTCCCTTAAAACATTAGAAATCAACACTAAGGTTGGACATATTATGGAAAAATACACTAAAAATGGACTTTAAATACTGGCAAAAATTGGCAAGCTTCTACAGAAAGAATATGCATTCAATCAGTAACTTTCTTGCAGGCACCTTTAGAGAGCTAGTCTTTGGGCATGGTGCCTAAATTTTTAGCCAAGGCTACTCAGATTGCTTTGATATCCAATTTCATAATCTAGAGCAATTAGTTCAGTCAGGTCAGACTGTCAGGAGGGAGAATGAAGCAGGTAACTGAGTCTGGAAAGACGATCGTACACATGTGTAAGCAGATGACTGCAAACTCTGAGAGTGCAGGCATGCATGTGTATTTTGCTCTGCTGTAGACCCTAGCACATTCCCATGTGACACAGATTAGGTTTTCAACAGACACTAATTTTATCAATTAATGAAAGAGTGCATGCAAAGAGTGAAAAAAGCACAGAGATGACAACTCTATAAAAATAAGGGCTTCAGGGCATCTCCTCCTCAGTATAGGTGCTAGAGAGGAGCTGCCCTGGTGCATGAAATGATGGGTAGGTTAGAGCAGTTGGGAACAGCTCTTCACATGGTACAAAGGAATTTACAGCTTATTTTGTGGGAAAGAGTCTTGAAGCCGATGGGCAGCGCGGTGAGTTCTGCCTCTCAGAAGCTGAGCGTGGTGACAATATGAAGGGCAGGGGGATCTGGACCTCACTGAGCTTTTGGATTGATCAGACATTGGGGATGAGATGAGAGTAAAGCGCAGAAGACAGTTCCAGTGCTCCGAACGAGGTAAAGGTAGACTGCAGCACAATGGACTGAGGCGGAAAAACCCAGAGAGGAGAACAGCTTCCCCAAGGAGAAGAGTCAGATAATTCGGGTGCATATTAGACAAAGATTAGTACCTGAGCTTAGGAAAAAGAGTGCAAGGCCCTGAGTGTTGATTCTATGATCTTTCTCAAACATAATGCTTAAAAATTTAGCTTTGTATAAAGAGAAATTAAGAGATCTATTGGCTGTAGAAAAGTTTGAGACTTCATAGAAAGCCTTACTTTATATGTTGTATACTTAAAATATATTTTTATTTTTAACAATTATAGTTCTCTTATAGGAATAAATATACATGGTTTATGCCATGATTCTAGTGAATAGCACCTATTCTTTGCCAGCTTGCACTAGATAATTTAACAATAATCAATAACATGGAAGAATCTGTGTTAACTTTATCTGCCTGTATAAAACAGAAAGCAAATTTACACTCACGTTTTGTCTTTCTCTTTCTTCTTGAAGTATATAGGTTAACCTATTAAAATAAATAGATAAAAATAAACCCTGAGTTGTTTGTGTTGGAATTTGCCCTAGAAGGCAACAGAAAGATCTAAATATTTCTTCCATTTGGTGAGATGTGGCTTAAAGTAAATTTTAAATTCAGCAGGAAAATAAAGGTCTTAGATTTTTTTTTTGGCAGTTTATACCGTGTTGCCATGTTCCCACCAAAAACAAATAAAATTGACTTCTAATGAAAACTACTACAAATTTATTCACTGGAATCACTGTTTGTTGAGTACAAAGTTAAGAATTTTTCCACAATATAGTTAAAGTACATGTACTAATACAGTGAAATCAAGCCCAGAGGATTAATATGCTTACTTCATTATTATAGTATTAAGGAATTATAAAATTTGTTTTCAAAGGAAACAACATACACACTGTTCCATGTAAAGTTTCTTGTGTAATAGGTAGAAAGTTCCCAAGGAGCAGAAGAAAATTAGGAATTACTCTCAAGGTAAATTGTGAACTGATACTAATAATATTATTCTTTAAAAAAATAAACCTTTACCCAGGCATGGTACTCCTGTAACCTCAGCTACACTGTAGACTAAGGTGGGAGGATAGCAAGTAGCAGGCCAGCCTGGGAAATTTAGCAAGATCATTTTTCAAAATATAATTTTATGTTTTTACCTTTTTAAATTAATAGGTGTTTGTGATGCATAATACCACATGCATCACGGAGCCCTGGTACGTGTGCACAGAGCATCTTTGTCCTTTTAACTTCTTCCTCCCCATCTCCTCCTGCCTTTCCCCACCCCCAGATTCCCACCTCCTCTTATTTTTAGTGTCTGTTCCCCCCACTAAATGTAAGAGCTGTCAAGGCAGAGATTCGTCCATTTACTACATGTCTTAAATATCTGAAATGGTGATTACCATATTACATTTATAAATATGTGCTAAGCAAATACTTTTAGTTAGTAAATTTTCTCAAATAAATATTAGATTAAAATAACCCATGTACTATACAAATTATAAAAAGAAGCAAATAGAAGTTTTTAAAGGTAAAGATAAAATGGTGGGTCAGATTAATTTCATTTTAAGTGGAAAGATAAAAAGTTCTTTGCAGCTAAGATTTATCAGCCCTACAATTCTTAATAGAATTGAAAATTGCTCATATAGATAATAAGGATCATCATTTAGCTGCTGCTGCTGTTTTTGCTCAAGGTGATAATCATACGTTGGTGTTGGAGACAATGGACACTCAGCAGCTCCTCAGACTCCAGGAACTGCTCTAGAAGTATCTGTATCCAAGAGTCGCATTTCTGTGCTGCAGACTAAATAAAAGATTGTTTGTGACTCACTAGATTCTGCTTTCAATCTAGGCCATGGCCTAAACATTAACAGGGCTTGTACCCTGTGTCTAGTGGAAAAATTGTTTCTAGGTATGTAGCTCATCAATCCTACCCTATTCTCGGAACATAGCTGAAATAGTTTTAGAGACGAATAAGAACTAGGGAAAAAAAAGAAATGACCCCTAAAGACATTGACAGTACACGGGGGAATTTATTTGTCAGTGTGGCATCTGGGAGACCAATCCTGAATCATACGGTTTCCAGGATAGATGAGTTCCAAGTGTCCAAGATCAATTTGTAGATTCCAAAGGAGGAATCAAGTTGCTTGTCTTCCCATCCATTGTCAATATTAGTATTATTTAAAGAGACACTCCAGAGTCCTACAATAGCTTGATTTCTCAGCCTTCAGGCATCTTTAAACGAAAGAAATTAGAAAATCAGCATGCCCTTGATAAAAAATCTGAGATAATTGTTTTTCACCCATTTAATATAATTTGCTGTTTCTCAAAAAGAAAAGTTCAAGGAAAAATACCCTTGAACAAATTGTATCTTGCTTTTAACTAAGTCTTTAGTTTGGGAATGAAAATACTTATTGCTAAAAATGAATTTCTACAGGACAATTTTTCATATTCTCTAAAAATTCAAAAATACCCTAAATCCACAGTAAACATATTCTTAATATTAGGAAGTAGAAATATTGGTCCTGGAATACAAACAAAGAGCAATTCTAGAATATTGCAACTTTAGCCCCTAGACCAAATGTATAAAATGTACTTTAGCTTGGACTGTAGAGTTACTTGGAACAGAAGTTTTCCCCATTGATTACTGTCCCCTTTTCCTATACGGGATGAAATTTGGTAGCAGAAGGCGTTACACGGCTGCTAAGCCTTCACTTGACACAGCTTAGCTGTCTCGGTCTACTCATGCGCACCCTGTGTATTTGGGACAGTGTTTATAATCGTTGGGGTGGGGCTGCCACACACTTCAGGAACTGTAGCAGCGACATGACTTCAGTTCAGATTTTTAATTTGGATTGAAGTCAAAGTCCTACCTCCATGAGTATACTTCGTTATGCTTCCATAAAACATTTTGTTATTAAAAATGCTGTATTGACTGCTGAAGATACCTTTTCTCCAACGTATCTTTCAGTTTATGAGTTATGAAAATATAGTTTTTCACATTCTAAATTATTGATGTACTATCTTGCAAACCACAGAGGCTCAGGCTCCTTAGAAGCATGCATCCATTAATCTATCTATACCATGCACTTCTCGTACCACATAACTTAGTTGAACACTTTATTTTGCTTTTTGAAAAGCTTAGCAATATTTTTTCCTATGCATCTTCCAGGAGTATTTCCTAAAAAAGGAATACATTTATTTTGGCTTCAAGTTGATTTTTATGTATTTTTACCA